AAAATTTTAATCTTTTTCACTCCCGGTAGAAATTTTAACAATATTTAGACCATTAAACTTTAATGCAATAAAAACACTGAAAAATGCTGCGAGGACCTGGTGGCCTCAGTTTAGCTGACACGTTATTTGATCCGATAAATAATATACGGCGTAAATTGATCCCCACGTCAAAACGACCGGTGTCAAAATCTCCAATGACAAAAATATCCTAAACCCAATATATCATACTAGTAAGATAATACAACATGTGTACTCAATAATAATTTCAATACTATACAATTAAATAAGACAATTAATAAGTTTAATAAATTCATCAATACAAAATATGTATTTTGAAACTAAAGATCGATAAGACAACTACTTATATTAATTACAGTAGGTTTATTATTTAACTATATACTGATTAACTATGTTTTAAAAAATATCATATATTTAATAAAAAAAAAGAATTTGAATTTTTAAATACTCATACTATACTCTGCAAATAACCACGAAAGTCTTTTTATGAAAAAATACAAATCTTACCATAAAACAACTATAATTTGTATAACAATACTACAAAGTGTGGATTACTTTTAAAATGTATTTTCAAGCAAAGGAACCAACAGTCAGCATAGAATACACCACGTGATATACAATAAACTCTGGTCCATATAGCCTTGTAATCTAAAACTTTAGATGTTAAGTAAAAAAAAGTTTAGCTTGTATTGTATGTATGTGTTTTTTTTTTTAGAAATACAGCCAAGTGCTCGATTTGTTGCTTGTTAACCGTTCCGTAACCAAAGATTGGAGAGAGCGCAAGTAAAAGAAATTGTGTTATAAGGGAGAAACCCATAAAATCTTCTCTTAATGGTTGTCAGAGGCAAACGGTGATGGTAGTAGCTTAAACTAGAATAAGAGGAGTAGGAAAAAATCGCGGCCGCCGGCTTCCCTGCCAATCCTCGGGGGGTACACGATTATGGTTTCAAATGTGCCACAACATTACTTCTGTGTGTGACATTTGCTGTATACTGCGGCTCCTAAAATGACAGAGGCATCGTTTTAACTTTTACAACTTAGAGAATCGTTTGCGCACATTTATCTGTTTACTTATCGAGATGATTCAAAACATTTCAATGCACTCATAAAAATAAAGTTTAAACTAAACTATATGCAGTAAAATAAATGTATCCAACGTTATTATTTTCTAAAATTATAAATGTAATTTGTATCATTTTAATAATTTCGAAATTATATTAGACGTAGGGTAAATACGATAAGGGTTGCTCGTCTGTCTATAATAATTTGTCGCCGTAGTTGTCCATATATCAAAGATATCATAGATCCAGACACAAAAATAAAAATAAAAATACATCATTGTAAAAACAATACCTTCTCAACTACGCATCGAAGCTAAAAACATAAATATTAAATTGAAATAAATAAAGTGTTAGTCGATTTTTAACAAGAATAAACGAAGACTTAAAAAGTATCATACACAAAAAGTTAATCACCTATTTCAGTTTTTTTAATTATTTCAGCACCTCTATTATAGCATCTTACGATATGTATACTTGTTTTTAGTGTTATACAATGGATTTTGCCAAACTGTCTAAAAACACTTCAGTAATTTTTAACCAACCTTACATAAAATATAAAGGTAACATAGTTTAATATTAAAGACTTGAAGATCATTAACCTTTGGTTTTTTAAATTTATTTAATTCAGAATTCATATCACCGCTCACAATCTAATTATTAAATATGTTGTTATTTGTATTAATATAGCTCCTTACTATACTTTGTTAAAACTATTGTACAATAGGAATGGCACAAAGCAAGTAGAAAACTTAATATTTTAAAAATAGAAACTCAATTTATATATTTTTTTTAATTTGAGTATATTGTAATATACATACAGACATCTCCTGTTTTGCTTCTAGTTAAATTATATACTCAAATTGGATTGGTTTTGAATAAAAGGAATATTTGTCAGTATTTTTCGAAAAACAGAACAATGCTATTCTATGACCACTAAAGTATATACATACTTACAACAAAAATTACATTTCATAGACGCATGTGTTAAAAAATCACCTTTAGTTCAGTATAATACGTTTTATTGTTGACATAAACCACATTTTCAAATTAACTAATTGCATTGGTTGCACACAATTATTTTACTATTCTACTCCAAACACATACACAGTGGTGCTTAAGCACTTACAATGGTCTGGGGATGTATAAAATATATTTTATACCCACCCGCCCTAAATCGCATCAGATGACTCGCCGTAGCTTTCTGGATTGCCTTATTATCATCGAAACGCGTCCCTTTTAGTAACCTCTTTAACCTAGTGAATACAATATAACCGGAAGACTGAGAAAATGTGCAATTAGTGTTAGGAATCATTAATTTCGATTAACAAAAATCTCTGTGACGGAGCGGTACCATTCAGCAAAATCCAACCATTTTTTAAATCGACCTCTACTAAAAATAATTCATAACATTCGATTGAGAATGTTTAGAAATTGTAAAACTCTTATCACTTTTATTTGCCGTTCACGAAAAAAAGCTGACTTGTTATTTTTCACTAAACCCGTATGACAACCTTTCTTGATAACTGAAGATATTTCAATTTATGGATTAAAGATTCTCAAGTCAATTTATAATATTAAAAGCTGTAGAAAGCACCAACCTATGCTTATAAGTTTAAATGAAATAACCAGCGGGTTTTTTGATTTTGCTAAATGAAAATTAACCAAAAGATTGCAACACTTTCAACGGTAATCAAATGTTAACGGTTTATATTTGAACGCATCATTTCCGGGAAAATTAAATAATTTATATTCCTTAGTAAACGTTTGTACAGTAGGCAATTATTATTAATCACCATAAGAACAGCAAAAAAGATATTTGTAATTTTTAATTTATTTACTTTTTTTTAATTGTCATTCTCCGTGAGAATATTAAAAGTTACAACGTATTAAATACACCTATTTTATTAAGGAATTTTTACATAACGAACATTTTATATTACTTTAAACACAGATTTAATTCCCAATTCACATTCTTAAGATTACACGAAGGCCTATTCTTACGCTGCATAATATGATTATAAGAATTTCTATTATAAATTAATTACATTTTTGGTGCTATAGTATTAATTTTTACATTTTGGTTTTTACAATCGGTACACCATAATAACACTGATTAAACACAATGTATTAAGGCGGAGAAATTAATTTGCTATTTTAATGGAGCGAATACTCAAAAATGCCTACTCAAAATATCCACAACATTGCAAGATTTAAGTACGAGTTCGGGTCCATTTCATTAAAATACTTATAAGTTTTTAAATAATATTACTTAGTTGTTGGTAGTAGGAACGTGCAATTTTTATTTTTTAAATCAATGGCACGTGTTGTTTTAGGTCAATTATTACAATCAACTTTTAATATATGTACTGTGCACATACAATATGATTGATATTAATCATACATTTTCCGGATGTTATTTCATTTTAAGCATAAAAATATATAAATAATACAAAATTACTTGTTTTAAGAGGTTCGGAGGATTTTAAATGAAGTACATCAGACCCGAAGGTTGAAGGGTTGTCAAATTGTAACTTCACTGTTTTCCGTATCAATAATATATAAAAATAAAATGGGAACAAATCTGTCGGTGCTAAAAACTCTTTCTATTTTGTGAAGAGGGTAACAAAAAAAATAGGTTGTTTCGTAAAGGCGTGAGAGATTTTTTGGTTGTTATCTACGACAAAATATATAAGAACATAGTTGCAAAAACAATTGGTGCACACGGTTTTCATAGTGTTGTCAAGTGTTGTTTAACGAGTTTAGTATAAAAAAAAACAATACGACAAATGGTTTAGTAGTGTGTGCTTATGTTTAAAAAAATAACATTTTTACTCTCTAGTCTTTTAATGATCAGAAAAGATGACCGGAAAAATAAAACAAAAAACAGTCTTCGTGTACTTTTTTTTTCACGTCAAACATTTTTTTATTGTTAAAGATGGTCCGTATCCATAATCTGATGGCACAGGTGTTTGAGTCATATTAAAACATCTGGATATATTTGAACGAAGTTTAGCCTCAAACGTTTTTATGACATTTTGTTATGGCAAAAGTTTTTTTTAAAATATTAAGCGACACGAGGTGTCGAAACGACTGATTACATGTTTTTTTATACATATTTCCGTAAACCTAGTTCAGTAATCATAAAATGTAATTGTATTGAAACATGCAATAGGTACAACCTTTTCAAAAATTTAATAGACCGGTGTCGAAGTTGTGGTTTAAAGTTATTACAACTACCATTAATTGACCTATTTTTACCCTAATGTTGTTATTTATACGTTTAAGTATTTGTTCACCTCTGCGGGGATTACAAGGATAATGTGATGTAGTAAAAATAATAATAACGAAGTAAGTTATGTGCTATTGGAGTTTGAATAACTCAAAATATTGAATTCCCGTGCAATTTATTTAGAAAATAACGTGTAATGTATTGGCGGCACCTGTAAAGGTTATACCGTAAAGCGATTTGCTTATGTAGCAAGGCGGTGTAGTACTTTCGTAGAAACTAAAAATATTCGTAAGGTATAAAATTCTTAAATAAATCATACGTACGATTTAAAGTAAAGAATTACAAAATTGTGTTCTACGTATAAATACATTCATAATAAATGAGAATATGCACGTATATCAGTTTGTTTACGCCACTTGTTGTACCTCCAATATGTTATATTGAGATTACATTATTTATGTGCATGTCAAAAAAAGCTCGAATTTATCAATAGGTAAGTCAATCATGTTGGCACCTGAAATAACAACTAGCAATTTTAGCAAATACAACTGTATTTTTAAGAGATTCTTTATCCCATTAGTATATACCAGTAAGATAAATATAATGATGCGTGTAGTAGGCTTGTCTACACTTTTTAAACTTCACTCGATTGGAATTAACTTGTAAAATAATTTACAAACGTATGTACTTACTTTGGATAAGTGACATTAGGAAGCGGTTTCAAAAAACAACGTTGTCGCAGTATACCTTCCCAGAGCTGTACGCCTATTATTCCGAATATGAAAAACACAAAGAAGCATAATAGTAGTACGTTGCCCAACATAGGAAGGGTGTCCAGCAGCAACATTACCAATATTCTCATACCTAAAACAAAAGTCATATTATATTTTAATAATTACACGATTATCTCGAGGCAATTCAAGTACTTTTTTCATATCGCTTTTATTTAAATTCTCTCAAAAAAAGTAATTACAAATGATTCAAACCTAATTTTCAACACATATTACTTATGACTATTGCTTAATTATTTATAATTTATTAGAATTATTACATAAAATAAATACTTGTATATATTATTATTAGAATTTTAAACACATTTCTCTATGTAAGTTTGTATTGTAATGAATGCTAGTGAAACACATATATGAAGTTAAAAATTAATAATATTATTATAAAAAATAATAAACAAGCTCGTAAATTTGGTTTAAATTTATTTACTTTTATAAATAAAAGTGAAATATAAAAAACTTTTATAAAAAACCTCTTTATACATTTTTTATATTTTTTTCTTCTTTATTTTTAATGTGCAATACATTTGTATGCCTGTATATTCAAAAATTAAGCAATATTACGACAATAAGATTTAATGGCAATATTTTATTCGTATACACTCTTAAAGTTTTAATATAGTTTGCTTTAGATGATCAAACTAGACGTTAAGTTATCATAATCTAACGAAGTGAGTTATCGAGGTAATTGAAGGATCCAAGTTAAGATATTAATAAATTAAATAGTTGCTTTTATATAAGTCTATGTAACAATTGGTAGCTTAAGTAAGTATTATGAGGATTTAAAAAGGATACTACGAGCATGGTCGCTGGACGCTGTCATTACTTTTATAAACAACGTATTTCTACTAATCAGTAAACCTTGACAGCCTTAAACTTAATTTTCACAGTATAAAAATTAATCAATATTGAATTGAATTTAATTATTTATGTGTTGTATAAAATATTAAATATGCAACATAAAGCTTGTATTTATTGAAGCAATACAATAACTTCAACAGGCCACAGTCATCATGCATTAATGATTGTTTGATTATCTACCAGGCAACAATATTTTTTATGTATATTTTACGCATCAGTCCAACATTAAAATGCAAATTATTTAACTCTCATACTTCTTCAAAGACAACATTAAATAAAATGTTGTCTACTTCAACTGTTATTAAGAAAAAATAATAATTTTTTTTTGACATCATAATGGTCTATAACTACCACTTTTAAATTCAAACAGATAAAAAGCAATCCCTTTTTTATAGTGTGATGACTTTAATAATTTATCTTATCGTTATATAAATATTTTATATAATTATGTGATACCTAAAATATTTTGAAATTTAGCTGTTTAAACAAAAATAATTAGTATAAACAATTTTTTTAACAATCTTAGATAAAATACATTAACTTATTTACATATTTTCAATAATAGTAAGTTTATTTAAACATTAAAACCTATTTTGTCATATTTTGGTAAAAATGAATTTTATTTTACGACTTAGATCCATACCTCAAATATTTGTATCCTACATTAACAATAACTAAGCATTATAATGGTCTCTGTCACTGGGCTTTCCCATCCATTTAATTTATGCGATAAAAACTTTAAGCTTAAAGGGTGGACACGTGTAATCCATCATCGTTAAAATCACCGTTCGATGATTTGTATTAAATATCCTAATATTCCTTTAGGCTTTACACAAACACTACTGTGTATTTACGAGTTTAGTTAACGCATAATGTGGACCACATAAACATGTATTCGTTTTAATACATTTAAAATACACATTGATTGTCTGGCTTTAATTACGATTTTACTTGCTTTACATATTTGTAGATATGTTTCCAACAGCTTTACATATTTTAATTTATATATATTTGCATAGAACATTAGGGTGGCGCAAAAAAAATCGATCTTCGAAATGTTAATGGGCTAACATTTAAATTTGTTCTATACATCAAAAAAGAGACTTGGTGAAAATTTGAGATAAAAAAAAAAATGTTTACTGGTCGCTCAACGCGTTTTAAGTAAATTGGCCAAAAATTTTCAAAAAACCCAAAAATGACTTAAATTATAACATTTTTGGTCAAAAATCCTAATTAGCACATCTAAATTATAGTATTTTTTGCGTTAAGTACAACTGTTTGAGTTTTAAAATCCTAAGTTAAAAATTAATTACGTAATTAACAAAAATTCATAATTAAAAGGTTAATTTACAATTAAGCTTAAATTAACTAAAAAAATTTTTTTTTTTAATTTTTAATACTTTATTTTGTTGAACGTTATGTATGTTTCAAGTGAAAAAAAATTTTTTTACTAATGTTAAAAACTTATACCTTTTTTGTCATTTTTTCGTGCACCAAAATGAACGTTTTACTGAAAAATGTGTATTATGTGTCAAATAATAAAATACTTATCGTTATGAGTTTTGGCTGTTATATTTGATTACAATTTATTTAATTTATATATTTTTAATTGTATATAACACAATATAAAATGTTATTTATTGCTTAAGAATGTATATGTTTCAAAAACAATTTTAATTGACAGCTCCTGAATTAAAAGGTATTCAGCAGTTCAATTTGTTTATTTAAAGAGTTTATATTAAATATTGGTATTACTATATTACTAGTTCATGTGCTAATAAAGCACCTAAAAATGATCTAAATCCATTAATACAATTAAGACAATACAGCGATATTAAAAGTGTATAAGCGCCGAGGCGGTTAAAGCGTTTTCTGGATATTTATGGCATCTAAGTGAAACGCTTATCAGACTAGCATTTTTGATGACAGGCTATCAAATGAAGACAAAATTAAAACGGTCAACGCTTTAAATAAAAAAGGTGAAATAAATCCGAAAAAACGATTTTCAGTTGAAACAATAAACAAAAATTATGGTTTACAGCAATTTGTAACTAAAAATACAAAACAATTGTTTCGGTGCTCAATATTAGTGACGATTTTTTTAATGACGATCCCAGTACTTGGTCTAAAAATAAAAATTATATGTCTGCATATAATAAAGTGCAATCATTATTTGTTGTAAATGATCCAGTCGAAAGAGGAATTGCTCTAATGACACAATTCAACAATTCTTTAAAGACAAATGAGGAACAAAAACAATATATTTTACAAGTAGTAGAAAAACATATAGAAAAAGTAGAAAAAAACATTTAGAAAAAGTTTTTTCTGAACTTTTATATTATAATAATAAAGTTTTTTATTAATATTGTGTTATATATAATTAAAAATAAATAAATTGTAATCAAATATAACAGCCAAAATTCAAAACGATAAGTATTTTATTATTTGACACATTATATACTATCTAAAGAAATTTATTTAAATACATTAAGGCTTTTTTTATGTTGGGTCTCGAAGAAACAAAAAAAAAATTATTTACATTCCTTAAAATACAAAAGTTTTTGAGTTACGCTTCGAGGATTAATATTTTTAAGACTCTCTTGACACCCTTCGCTTAAATGTATTTTCCAAAATAAAAAGTATGAAATAGAGGTCTGTCCAGTTTTAAAAAAATAGGATCGGGTCGGACCATAAAATTAGGAAAAACTATTTATCTGGACCTGATCGATACGTAAAATATTATTTCGTAGCTCAAACAAACCAGGCCCGGACCATAATTAGGTCACGATTAAACATTTTATAAGAAACCTGGACCACACCAAACTAAATTGGATTTTTTAGCTCACAAAAGGAAATGTATAAATTATCGATACGCAAATATAGCATCGATAGATCATGGGTAATACAATTTTAAACCAATCCAGAAAAAATTAATTAATAGTAAATAAAATAATAATAAGACATAACAAACAAATACAAATATACAAATATGCTGTTCTATACTTATTTTTTTGTTTTTTAAAAATTTCGTGTTAGAAACTGTGCATAAGTCTGGTGCTAAAAAAATGAGACCGGACCGACCCGTTAAATAATAAATATTATTTTGTAACTCGAACCAACCAAGCTCGGGCCAAAACTAGGAGAGCCAGTTAAAAATTTAAAAAGAATATATTATATTGTACATGAACATTGTACATTATGAAAGGTTGCCGATTATTATTACTCTCAAATTAACCTAGTCATGGACTCGTAATAATAGCTACACTCGCGTTTTTCATGTATCAATAACATTAAAACCCATATCGCATCATTGTAGAATACCATTTGTAAATTGTATTAGCTTAGGATCGAACAAATTACCATATGCGTAAGTCTGACTGTGTGCGAAATCAGTGACCTCATTCTAGAATGAATACTTCAAACATAGGACGATTTAAACTATGGAGCAAAGCGGTGGCGCCGGACGGGCGTAGCAATTGATATCCAAATAACCAGTGAGCTGTACCTCACTGTACACAAATTATTTTTCAGAGTAAGTAACATAAAAAAAACCAACGCTACTGATTTATGGGCCGCTAAATAAAACGAACGCATCTGGTATACACATTATCGGTTGCTATTTTATTTCAAGCGCAACTAGTCCATGTTTATATAATGTTGCATTCACCGTGTGCATTAATAATTATGGATAACTTTTCTCTGCAATTAAATAGGCACCTATAAACTACATTTGACGTTATACAATTGACGTTTAACGTTTCAAATAATTTCATGTGTAGGTACGTGTTAATAAATAAAATATTTTTAAAAAAATGGTAAAAATTGGTTACATTTTTTAACTAGTTATTAAATACCCGGTATTTCAAACATGAGTAAGACTGTGTACTTTAGCATAATCATATGAAGGGCGCAGGGGAAAAACAGTAGTAGTCACATTATTACAATTTTAGAGTATAGCAAAAACAAAGTTCGTGAATTCCTCTCCCTCTTACATAAGAACAAAAAAAAATCACATTAAATGCTATTCAAATAAAAAATGTTTTATTTAAACAATCTATTGACATAAATAAAAAAAATTAATGACATATATTGAAAAAAACTATTTGAAAAAAAGAAATTTCCATTATTTGACTACTACCGTTTTTCCCATGTGCCCTTCATGTATAAGAACTCTATAAAGTAAAACCATTTACGTCGTCAGGTAACAAAATGAAAAATATGTCAACAATTTTAAAGTGCTTGGAACTTGGTGTATTTATTTAATAAATATTATACTTTTGGAAACGCATTAATACATTTTATTGATACTTATACCACTTTTTATTCCTTAAGCGAAAATAATGGAAAGATATCATACCTCAATTTGATGGATCACGTCACGATTGTCATAATACATGATAAATATTTTAGCTACGTTTGAGTGTAAGCAGTTATATTTTCCTTACGTCCATTCTTACTGTTTTATAACTAAGTACAAATGTTACTACCATTATGTTAGTGCATATGTGCATTTTAAAGCTGACACAAAAAAATCAGTATACATTTCGATTAAAAACTTGTCATCATTAATGTTTTATGACATAGGTAATTTTATTAAATATGTTTTAATTCATAATACATTTTTTTATTATTATTTAGCCTTTTTAAAATAACCTAAAAACATAACTAATTATGGTTACGAATACGCCCAACACTGGTACAAATAATAGATAACGAAGTATTTTCTAGATTAATATAAATTAAGTATTTCTATTTAATTGGTTTTAGGTAATGTAAAAACAGATTTTTGAAAGGAAAAAATATAAGAAACATTTGTTTAAATCTAAGCTGTATCCGAAGTTGTTTAACTTCGATGCGCAACTAAGAAGATACTGTTTTTATAACAATGAAAAATTATTCAATATAAAATAAAATAAATCATCCTATCACTATCCACTAATCACCAATTCACTCAATCGCCACTAATATTTCAATAGTATAGTTCATCTAAACAACTAAACAAACATACCAAGGACATATAGTTTCTTTACATACGGGTTTAATATAAAAGTAATTCCTTATTATTAAAACACAAAATAGTGCTTAACTTATTTTTAGGAACACAAATTTGAAATTAAGTTTTAACAAATTCTTAGAATATTTTTAATCAAATTATTTTTCCCTGGTATAGCTTAATGTAATTTCTGTACTCGCTATTATGAGCAAGTACTTAAAAGAAAACTGTACAATGCAAAAATAATGATAAAATTCCTAGTTTTTTCCCAATTGTGTTGTTCGAAAATGTTTTTTTGTGTAAAAGTTTAAACGCTTAAAATAATATTTTCTAAAAACTATATACCTATTGAGTTTTTTGCAATAAAAAACACGTGAAAAACATATTTTATTTTTACAGACATTATACTTTTTGACAGTGCAATAAATAATAGACTAAATATTTAATTTAACATGTAAAAAAGCTATGTTTGCATACATGTATTTATGCATATATGTATGTTGTCTTTTTCCGCTTAAACTACTGAACCAATTTTGATGAAAAAAACTAAAACAAACTGTGATTTCTGGAGTGTCTTCTTAGCTAAGTTTAATTATCGTGGAGTTAAGTATAATTTTGCAGATGCAAAAAACCAGATTTTTCAATCTGTATAGCTACTTAAAAAGACTGTAATTATGTTTTAGGCACAATGGTCACGTCTGGCGTAATCTCCTAACGTAGTCGGTTACTCTTATTTGTATCTTCTGTTTAAAATATTTAAAAGCAAGCAAAAGAGATATGTCAAAAAAAAAACAAGAAAAAATGAAAAAATCCGACGACTCCAACATTCATTTTCGATACTCTAACATACGAGTATTTTAAAGAAATTTATTTATTTAAGCGTATGGCATTTTTGACCGAGAGTATGAATTCATTTTTTAAAGAAATTGAAGTTAATTAACCAACTTTTTAATTTTTAGTGTTTAAAAATAATTTTAAAACTTTTAGAAACAGGCACTCAATAGTTTATTATTATCAAGGTAAAACTTTTACTATAAGGCTGAAATGATAACTGCTATTCTAATTTAAGTAAAATCATCCACAATGAAAATATTCACTATCATAATATCTGAAATAACTAAATAGTTCTTTTCTTATTGAGTTGATAAAATAAATAACGGTATATTATAAAATAATATTTATACAAATATTAGTCGCGTTTAATATCCAATTATATAGGTTGGAAGATTAAAACAACCTCAACAAACCTTTAAAACATCCCATCTCAAATAAATAAATACTTTGTGTAAATATCTAAATTATATCTAATTGTGGAATTTAATTTAATAGGTTACATAGTATTGTAACACATTTTATAAAGCATATTAAATAGTTTAATTTTGGAGTTCGGATCGTTGCATATGAGCTATAATTTCACGACTAGTGTGTTCATGGATGGACACACTAGCTTTGGATAGTTTCAAGTTTGACTAGTAAAAGTAAAGACATATTTTAGCTTCGATGCGATAACTGAGAAGGTATTATAATTATATGTTTTTTTATATGTCTGAAGACACTATAACTTTTGTTTCTGTGGTTCGGATTTACTCGAGTAGCATCTCCATCGATAGTGGACTCTACTTTGGTAATTAATTATCGTGCTGGTTTTGATTGATCTTAGTTTAGGCTTTGCTTGATTTAGACTGTACTGTTTTTAAGCTTCGATGTGGAGCAGTGATGCTATTTTTTTATTTGCCGTACATTAGCTATAAAGTTAAAGCAGCATATTTTTCATAACGACATAGAAATTTAGTCCGTTATCTGTTTTTATGAATAACCTTATATTCTATGCTAATACTACGCAATACCGGAGAGGTACTTAATAGTGTTCTTGGAAAATTGGGAAAACCCCTATTCGAGTTTCACAAACTGTTTGTATTTAGTAGAGTACCAGCTAAAAAATATAGTCGAAACTTATTTCAGAGATGAAGTAGGAACGTAAGCGGATTATGCTATTTCGAATGGGTGGTGTAAGGACACGACGTCATGATTTCCGAGTACTAAAAAAGTAACGAGTTTTTAGTTATTTATTCGAACTAACCCAACATTCAATGTGCTATTTGTGCATAGACACCAGCATGATTGCATCGCGTTTCTGAAGATTACTTCACTATTGCTGCAGAACATGTGTTAGGTGATGATAAAATAGATATTTTTGTGACGTATAATCATAATTAAAACTAATTACTCCGTTGTCCAAATCCTACGATCTACATAATCAGTTGACACTCGGTCTTTTTTTGTACCTTATTTAGTCTACTACTCTAATGCACTTTAATTTGCTCCTATATCGCCTAGTATAATATAATAAAATACAGACTCTAATATCAATATGATTATATTATCACAATGATAATAATAATTTGAAAAAGTATATCACAATGAGCGGGTGTTTGTTTTCTCTGTGGCTTCTTTTTTTTTTTCTGTTTTATACTCGTAAAAAACATACCCGTTAAGATTATTTTTATGACGGCTACAACGCTTTTATTTCCCAATGTATTTTAAACTCGCCGACAACATGGCCGGTGCCAAAGTGTCATCCCCTTCGCTCCCTGCCCTCGTTATCCTGTTGGAAGATTATACGGGTTTTATGATGGAAACCTGCAAACACTTCTTTCCACCAGCACGTCAGCAGTTATACCTACATACTTCGAGTATTCCTACAAGTACCCATTTATACTATAAATTATGGTATACGTAGTAATATTATTACTACAATGCTATTATAATTATTATTACTATTGCAGTGGTAATTATTTGCACACGCGCAACTATAACGTTTTAATGTAAAAACTATAATATTTTACTCACTCGGAATTCGGTTGATAGCTCTAAGCGGTCGTAGCACTCTTATTGTTCGTATGGCGGAGAAATTTATGTTTTCTACGTTTAAACAATACTCCAGAGCACTGAAAAAAATGTACATGATATAGCTACAATAAACAAACTAAGTCAAAACGATCGTAACTGTATTAATATGAGTACATTGTTTTTATATGTGCTTATACGGGCTCAAAATAATATGGTTAGCGTTTGAATGGACATACGAAAACTCGATATATTCATATATCTTAGGTTTAAAGCTGTCATTCATTTTTAAACGATATAATAAATGACTTATAAGAAACAGATAATAATAAACATGTGTAAAAATATAATATTTACCCGGCAATCACGATGAAAAAATCTAATCTGTTCCAGGAGTCCGCAAGGTATGTACTTGGGCCGTACGCTCCCATGGCAATCATTTTCACGATCATTTCTAGTGAGAAGAACGCGAATATGAAGTCATCAAACACCTATGAAAATGTTTTACAGTTTACATTACACTTCAATACTCACATGACAACGTAGCAATAATGACAAAACTAAAAATATACCTGCAATATTCTACACCGTCTAGAAATGCATTGATCGTCCACGCACGGTTGGTACATGCCCAACGTGACGCAATTTAGTAGTATCACCAACATGCTTGCTCTTTCAAACCACGTAAACGCGTCTGTTAAGGAATAACTTCAATATTTGTATCTTTATTTTTATTTTAATACTAAAAACCATTGTTGAACTAAAAGAAAATAGGCACGTACCTACTTGTACAGTTTAACTTTCCTACAGCGAATAAACAAAAATTACTTGATTTATCGAGTCGTTGGTAAGCAACTTGTTGATTTTGTTTTTAAATGTATAAATTAAATTATTAACATAGATATTTATAAAACTATCATTTGGTCGACCTTCAATGTTTGTCAAATAAAAAAAAATACTTATTAAATTATAAGATATAAATATTTAAAACTTGAGAAAGCGTACAAACTAATGCTTATTTATTGAACTTAAAATTTGATGCACGTGTGTCATGTAGGTTTTTCTATATAATGTATGTGTAAGTATACTGTCTATATGTTGATGATATTAACTATACGTATTACTTAACATCTTAGATAGGTATGTAAATACCCAATTTAGTTCATGTTACAGATTAAAACATAATAAAACATGTGAGAAAAATACAAATACTAACTGTTGCAAATGTTTAATAGTTTGAAAACTATGTTATAACTATTCAAGTTTACGCGCTTGCATATGAAATTAACATTTTATTTAAAACCCATTATCTTAAAATAATATAATTCTAACTAACTTCTAAATAATTCTGAACGTCTTTCGAGTTCTGACGTACAACCACATTTGTTTGGTAAAGTGATAGTATAACATTACCAATTACAAAATATAGGTACTTAAGCTATTATTTATGTTGTTTTGTTTTTAAATTTAATAATAACAAACTTTATTTATCCTTTGAAACGTATACGTTTTGCTCGTAATTCACTTTAGATCGGGTTGCAACTTATATTATTACTTGTTTTTTAAAGAAAATTGAATTTACATAACTTTATTTAATATTGAATTTAAAAACTCACGTTTGTGTTTAAAAAAAAATATTAAGTAAATATGATATAAAAAAATTCGCAATGCTTTACTTAGCACACCGCTATTAATAAAATATGTTTATTATTTAAACATTATCCAACAATAGCTGTGTATTAAATGTAAATTAAAAACATATTTTGTGTTTTACACACTGCAAATATTAATGTAACAATAAAATGTTTAAAAATAAACTTTGTTGTCTAGCTATACTTGCGTATAGGTACAGAACTCTGGTCTGTATGGAAAAAAATTAATCACACTATAAAGCTTATGAGTTATGACAATGTTATTTTTTTCCAAAACTACAGCGAATAATACGCTATGTGTTATAATATATCTAAATCTAATATACAAAATAATAACTCGACAACTTCGAAAAATTGTTATTTTATAAGTTTTATATTTTGTTAGGTGTTGGAATTAAAAATTCAGTTAAATGTAAAAACCTCAATAGACAATAAAAATATTTCGTATCAATTTATTATAACTATATGTAATTGCTAATGATTGACATTATTATATTATTAGTATTCAAAACCATACGTTTAATAACTGTATATTATAAAGGAACCATTTTAAATAAACCAATAAATTATGGTATTAATACAAGTATAATAATACAAAAAATTAACTAGATACTGATAACTTTTAAGATCTTTTTATTATTTTAGATTTGATACTAGGTTTTAAAATCAAAATAGTTGTTTGTGCAAATATTTTTATAAGATAATTTTTTTATAAGATCGAAAACTTGATTTTTTTCCCTAAAATCGACACTATTTTTTAAAGTAAAAATCTAGGGAAAACTATAGACTGTATATTATTAAATGATATCGGTAAACCACAAGTAAAAAGTTAAGTATAGTTTTTTAGTCTGAAATACAGTAAATATATTTTCCAGTAAAGTGTATAGGTTGGATTAATTATAATAATTATTTGATCACGGAGAGTTTATAGTTAAGTACAATTTCGTAGAACGAGCTGTAGTTAGTAGTTCAATGGATATCAATAGTAGGTGTTAGTAAAAATATATTTCGATAACTGACTGTGGAACTTTAGTTATGACTGAAATTTTAGAATTAAAAAAAACTTGAATAAACTTTTTTTGCATTTTTAGGAAGTTATTAAAAATATAAAAACATGTTGTGATGTTACACTTTCTTTCATGATCATACTGTCAAATGGACTTATAACTGATACATAATTTGTTTTAAATAGTTTGTTGTACTTTGTTTTATAATTCTAGTTTCAACTGAATCCTATCTGTAAAAAATATTGTTTATACAATTTCCATAAGTACTCGAAACATTTCCTTTGAACTAGATAGTATGTTACATCGATTGTGTTGCGTACAAAAATGGTATTCTAAAAGAACTATATGCATTATGGGTATCAACAAAACCATTAAAGTCTTGAGTTTTCCTATATCTTTTCAGACAAACGATATCAGTGAATATTATATAGGTAAGTATCAACTTTAACACATAATGCGAGACCATATTATGCACGACAGAACTATTATTATCACTGCATAACTTACTTAAGGGTTGTTTTCCGATGTTAGATTTTTTCTATATTATCCTTTGTATAAGCGACTATATAATATACAATTTGTATCTATTGATTGCACGATTTTTAATCTAAAATGTCCAAATTATACAAAAACGCGTATAAATAAATGGTTGTGCGATTGTTTATAATAATTTTGTATTATATTATTATTTTTTTTAAATTTCAATAGTAACTCATTAATATCACTAACTTATATACATTAAAAAAAGTTATTAGTTTATAGGGATAAATGTTGTTTAGTTAACCCGTACAAATATATTTTGTCACAAATAATTTTAGGGATTCAAAGTTGACCGTATATCATGTGGCCATTTCATCTAATTATATTTACTAAAGTAAGATCTATAATAGTTTCTAAGACAAAAATATATGAACAAATATCATTTTGTACATTTTTTTAAATGAATAATTTTGGAAAATTATGTTAACTGCCAAGGATTGTTTTAATTAATATTAATAAATATTTCTAAATACTTAAATACTTAAAAAAATAAGAATTTTCTCAACATTTTCCTTGTGATTTGTTGTAGTACCTATTTGTTATGCTTTAGGGATTAGTTCAATAAAAAAAAAAAACCTACGTAAAACAAACCATCCACTTAAATAACATATATAATATTATTTCTCTTGGCTCTTGCTAGATAGAAAATATATTATTTTTATTATTATTATAATTATTAGAATAGATACATAAAAAAAAATCCGAATTCATTCTATCCATTCACAATTTGGAAGCCTAAAATGCAAATTTGGGATATGTTCAAGTTCGGGGCAGCCACTTTTCTGATTACAATAATAAATTTGAATCTGATAAATTCTCTGTCACGCCCTTTATGCAAATTTGTAGATTCGTAAATTATTACAGCATTTTCCCAATTTTTTTGGGAATTAGTGAGCATTTTCAACTTTTAACATGTATATTATTAGTTGTTGTTAGTCAAAGAAATCCATTCAGCAATTTCTAGGATATCTCGGATATCAGTTCATGGATAAAAAACAACACGTTTCTATACAATTATTGTCTAATATAATGTTGTATCTAATCCAAAATTAATTTGAATAAAATAACTGATTTAATAACTTTCATTTACAATAATTTCTGCAAACAGCAGTGACGACCTCCCTGATCCTGACATGCTCCATTTCCACTGTGCTGGATTTTTTTTTACAAGAGGATTGCATGCCGTCTGTTTTTAAGGAGTTTTGTATTGGCAATATTTAAGAAAAAGGGGGTTTTAATAAATTTCGACCATATCAATACATTTACCGGTTAATTTGAATCAAGGGTATAATTTTTAATTTAAATAATTTTTTCTACAAGTAAAAGCCATTTTGGTTTATTTTAGGACAAAAAACCAGAAAACATTTTGACTTCGTAGGATGGTACAATTTCATTTCTGTTAAGAGATTCGAGTTTTTTGGTTACTTTACTATGTTATATAGAAAGCCGATTTTCATTTAAAAATTTCTTGTTATTAAATAAATTAAATTTGCATTTTTTTCAACATTAAAACCCAATTTTTTATATAAAAAAATCAAAATTGGGTTTTTTACATAACCTAGTTAAGTTGCCAAAGAACTCGTATGTCTTTACAGAATTGAAATCGGATCATCCCAAGAAGTCGAAATTTTTACTGGCTTTTTTGTTTATCCACAATTTTATTACCCGATTTTTCCTTTTTAACTTATTCCTTTTTATTACATATTATAATTATAATAAATACGTTTTGATAGATATGTATATTTTTAATTTCTTTAATATGCCATTGCTACAGGTCCATACTTAAAGAGGTGTAATTGTAATATGTTTTCGCGAATGGTACATTTTTGGGCAATTAAAACAGTGAGAAATACGTAAGTAATGGATTTTTTTGTAGGGCAGAGGACGATGTAAAAATATTTTTCTAGAAAGTAAAATGATCAAAAACGATTATGTATTAATACACATTTTATTTGTATAAAACATTACGCATGCGATAAACGAAGATAACGAGTGTCAAATTGAAGCCCTTATATGAAAATGAACTAGCAAACAGCGATAGTAAATATTTATTTTTGATTTAGTACCGATCATACGCCAATTCTTTCAAATACATAAAGATTCGCCCTCGATGTTCTAATCGTCCCTTACACAAGACTAAAAGAAAAAGCTATACATATATATAAACAGGATGATTAATTTAACATCATGTATAACAGTCAAACGTTATAATTAATAAGGATATTAACAATTTTAAGATGTATCATTCATAGTTTGAGTAAAACATTTGTCAAGTTCATTCAAAATTTGTAAAAAACTATAAAGGAAATTCATCATTTAAAAAAGATTTTTCTTCCATTTGTGATCTTAATTGCGTGCGTTATCGTTGTATCATTTGAATTAAAAATATTTTAAGCTAAAAATCGTTTTAATTTCTTTCATTGACTTTGAATTATGAGAAAACTCGCTGAAACAATATATTATAGTAAAGAGCATAAATTAATAT